TCCAATTCCACCTAAGAGCCACCAAAGTTGGAAGAAATTGTGACCTCATCAACAGGTACTCTCGGTTTCAATAAATGGATACCAACTCTCTCTCTATTGCAGACTTGCAGTTATAAATGGAAATAAATTTAAATTTCTAAAATCAGGGTAAAAATTTTCATGAATTAAATTTTTTTTCATAAAACATTATTATAGTGTATTATGGTGTTTGGTTGAGTTAAAGAATAATAAAAATGCAATAAATATATAAATATAAATATAAATATAAATAAATAAATACACACACATTAAGTCTATGATTACACATAATAATAATAATATTATCTAGAATTGTATTTTCAAAAAAAATAACTTACCAAACAACAGGATATGTCTGTTTCTTGAAATGCTAGTCCATTCATGACATATTTCATGAAACAATGGTATGTTTGGTATAAGAAAAATATTGTTATGAACATTTGTATTTAGATTTTGATGATACCATAAGTTGGGAATTTTAGTCATCTATTTCTTTTATATTCTAGACATAGGATTATTTCTGCTCTTACTCGAGTAGTCCGATTAGTAACTCAAGAAGTCACGCTTCGAATAGTCAAAACAATTCGAATGATAACTTGAAAGGTTATGTTTCGGCTAGTCTCAACCAAAAGTTCGAATAGTAACTCGAATGGTTACATTTCAAATAAGCTCAAGATGAAGACTTGAAGAGTTGAAGACTGAATATGAAGATTCGAAGAGTAGAAGACAGTAAGAACAAAAGGTTGCAAATGCTGAATAGTGGAAGGGCCTACCTTTCGAAGAAAAAAAAAAAAAAAAGAATGGTAAGGTCAACCGTTCGTAATCGAAAGTTTGCAAAGGTCAAAAGACGGGAGGACCTACCTTTCGAAGTGTAAGATGGGATGAGTGGTAAGGTCAACCATTTGTATTTGAGAGGTAGTAAAGGTTTAAGGTTCGAAATGTTAACTCGAATATATAGTGACATTTAACCATTTGAAAAGAATTACATACTCGAGACATTCTCTGAGCCAACAGTTCAAAACTATAAAACTTAGGTGAATGTGTCCAAGACAAAGAAAGTCCTAGGTACGCATCCCAATGAAGTTTTTTCCTAAAAAGTCAATACATTTTGTGCAGAACAAAGAGATTTGTTCATCGCAAAATAAGTCATCAATGGTTGAAAAATTTGACAACTCACCTAACCTCCCGATTACCCGATGGTCTTTACTCACTTAGTAATAGACGTTTGAAATTGGTTTCCCTCCAATGGACCTTTTTCAAAATGCCTATAAATACATCCACTCAAGGAGTAAGAAGGTGCTTGTAATTTTCTAAAATTTTCTAAGTGTTCAAAGCGTTCTAAAGCTCACATCTAGTGACCATTAGAAGAGATCAAAAGCTTCAAATTTCACATCTAGTTTCAGAGAGGCTTATGCTGCTTATTCGTGAAGATTAAGACTTTCAAAGCCAAGCTATTTAGTTGGAGAAGAAGAAACCTTATTCTTCAACCTTTGTAAACTCTACTCAGTAGAGATGAAAGAGGCGAAGTATACTGGTTATAGTAAAAAAATCAGGAGGAGTTCAAAACCGTGTGTTTAAGGCTTGAACGTCCTTTGTACTATTGTGATAGTGCATACCTCCTTGGATTTTAGGAGAAAAGTGGAATAGGCATGTTTGCCGAACCACTATAAAAATCTCCCTCTCTTTACTTTATTTTACTATACGCTTGCACATTATCTCACAATCAAACCTAAGCGTTTACAAGAACAAAATACGTGCAAACAAACATAAAAAGGGTTAACAAAATATTTCCGTTGTGCATACTCAACGAATCGTTGAATTTACCTCTCGATTGCTTGAACAAATCATAAAAGTTTTTAAAATTCTACAAGTCTATTCACTCCCCTCTAGACTTGTACCCTAACCCTACTAGGACCAACAAATATTTTTTTGAGGGAATTTTTTTTTTCTTAATTTGAGGAAAAAAAATATTTTACCTTATTTAGTTGGTGAAGAATTTAATATTTACTTTCCTTAGTATTTTATTTTGCACACTTTTTGGGAGAAATGTTACGATATGGATTTTTATTTTGCACACTTTTTGAATGCTACGTAGGAATATATAAATTTACGTAGGAATATATAAATCTTTATTCTAATTATTTTTAATAATTTATTTCTGACCAAACCACGAATAAATATAATTAACTCAATTTATTACTATAATATATAGTATAGGACATGGGTGTTTAAATTTCAACTTTGGGCGGTGAGGCGGTGATATTACAGATGGGATGGATACCTATTCATGGAAAGGTCAACCTGGTGGACTACTATTACAATAACCCAAAAAAAGCGGAAACAAAGTCCAAAGCGAAACAAAAATAATTCGGAATCAGATTCACACTCTAATCTTATCAATCATCAATACAAATTTACGAACTACCAAATTAGAATTTATGTTCTAATGAACTTAGAACTATTTTAATGGTGTGATGGGGGGGGGGGGTTTAAGCAGGATTTAACCCAAAAAAAAAAAAAAAAAAGAAAAAAGAAAGAGAGCGATGCTAATGATCTCAATTGGTGACCACTCTAAAGCGTCCAATAAATGTGTGAAGAGCACTTGCATGCAATTGAGCAATCATTTTCTTTTGAGTTAATTCAATTTTTGGTCATAGATTTATAGGTGGTAGTCCACTTGTAGTTCTTTTTATCAGAACATTTATTTTTTATTGTAATATTACTGTGACATGATCAATTTTTGTCCTTTATAAAAAAATCATTGAAATTGCGTTAAATACAAGAGCATTTGGCTCTTCAATTATGATTTTTTTTTTCAAAAAATAAACATAAAATATATAACGCGTCAACGCACTTTGTATTAAAAGGATCAAAATATCATTCTATTTAACGAAATTTCAACGATTTTGTTGATAGAGGACCAAAATTGATCATGTCATAATAATACTAGGACCAAAAGGGAATATTTTGATGAAAAAAGACTAAAGTGAACTATCATTTATAAATCAAGGACAAAAATGGAAATAACCTTTTCTTTTCTAACAAAATCTTCAATTTAGTTGTAAAACATTTTTTTTTTCTCTTTCCAAAAGAAGTGGATGTTACCTTTCTTTCAAGTAAGCTAAAATGTTTTCTGAAGTAGTAGATTGTGGACAAAAACACAAGATTGAGATTTAATAATCACAGTGTGAGAACAGAGTAACACCTAATATGGTCTTCCCACTTAAAAGACCGCTAAGTCATCGTGATTTATCCAACCATCATTCTATGAGGTCGGTATGTGGAGGTTAATAAAAAAAAATTTGTCTTTTATAGGCAAGAACATACAAGCTAAAAACCTTTCAAAAATTTCATATTTAAGGTGCTCTTAGGCTGGACATGATATTAACTTTAATGCCCGCATGGGTAGCTCAACTGGTCATAGAGGTGAAACTTTGGAAGAATGACCAGGGATCGAGTCTCACCAGCGGCAGCCTCTGTGAGTCAACCTCCCGGCCTCCCACTGCTCTGCCGGGCCGGGGTGTGGGGGGCCCTTAGGGTCTTCCTTTTGGAAGAATGATATTAACTTTAAAATGTAATGAAATATATAATAATTAAATATATGATTTAAAAAAAAAAAAAAAAAAAGCAGAAGACGTTATTCTGACAGTGACTAGGTTCAAGTTTGTTGCCAAAAACTGAAAAAACAGTCGTATTTTCCCACTATAGCATTACTTGCCAACATATTATAACAAAAGAAAAAGGAAAGAAAAGAATCCCAAACCTTAACCATTACAGGAAAGATATTTAGTAATTTAGGACATGAATATTGGGAAATAATATTTTTTAAATGTATATTTTTCTGTCTCTATTTTTTAATCTTACAATTTTATTTTCTAATTGACAAATACAAGTTGAACATTTTTGCATAAAAAACGTGCACGTTAATATTTCCAAAATACAATGAAAAAAAAACATTACTTTTTACTTGTGTCTTTCCACTTTGAGGTCTTTTTCATTTTTTTTTACAAAGTTGGAAAAGTGAAATTTTAATTTTTATTTTTAAGTTGGATAGTATTTTAATTTGAAACTGAACTGCATTTTATTTTATTTTATTTAGCCTATTCTAATTTACTAAATAGAGACTACTGGTCCGGTTTGGTAAAATAGTTAACTTATCAATCAATTTTAACTTATTTGATCACTATTAATTGTTTGACTTGGTTAAAAAAGTAATATAAGTATTTGGTTAATTAGCTTTTTGTAACTCCTAAATGCTAAAACTCAAAAAACTGCTCAAAGCAACTTTTTCAATTAGCTTTTTGAAAAAAAGAAATTAAACCAAACAACTATCAGTTAACAGCTAATTTACCAAACACCTTTTTACAATCCGCTAATGTTATCAACTAGTTATACTCTCTAATTAACTCAATCAGCTAACAGCTAACAACCATTTACCAAACATGACCAATATCTTAGTGACATCTCTAACTAAGTCAGTTAAATTGTTGGTTTGATAACCACATGACTACAAATCCAACTCCCAATGAGGTAGCTTATTAACTTTCTTGGTTTGGGTCAATCAGCTATGAACAACCTAGATTGATTTACCTCAGTATGGTTATTTTTCAGATAAGATCACAAAACGAGATTTACCAAGTGCACACCTTTGAACAGTAGTTGCGAATTTCTCTAGTCAAAACCTAATACTTGTGTTATTTTATATCATTGTAATTATTTAATAACGCATTAAATTATTTACTGAACACAGATTTGAGATTTACAAATGATAATACAGAGTAGTTAGTAATTTAATATGGATGTAATAATAATGTAATATTTTGAGCACATAAACTATTTTGTTAATTAATTATAGGAAGTGGTGAAATGAATGGAGTGTGGTCCAGCGGTACAAGAAGGTGGCATAATAAATGTGCTATTTATATCTTGTTTCTCATCTAAAAGAGGCAAAGAAGTAATTAATGAAACTAAACGAGGCTATTATAGTAAAACAATCATAAAAAGTTATGATTGTCTTCAACTAGACAACGAAACCCCGAGATCTCTGTTGTGCTTGCCTTCTCATTGGCTGCACACTTCTCCACTTCTCTTCTCTTCTCTTCTCTCCTCCTCCGCTGCCACCACCTTCACGGCGTCGCCGCCACGGGGCTCCTTTTCTCCGGTGACTTTTGGGTTAATAAACAAGAGGAAGGAAGAGAGAGGTTTCGCTTCAATTCTGTGTCGTGTTGCAGTTTGTTGTTTTGTTGTCTGGGGAATTTGGAAACAGATTCTCTGTTTCAGTGGTTTATATCGTTTTCTATCTTATCTTCTTTGCTGGGTTCATTGCTTTTATTATTCACATATACTTTGTTCGAAAACAACTGATATTAAAGTAAAGGAAAGGGCATTCTGGAATCTAGACCTCTAGCTTGTGCGCCTTGAGTTCTCTTCAAAATTATTTGAACATTCTTCTTGTTATTTCTGGGAATTTTTTTTTTCTTGTGTTTTGGAGTTTACTAAGAATTGACGCCGGGGAAAAAACGAGGAAAAGTTGTCATGGATCAAAGGCGATATCAGCAACAGCAGCAGCAGATGACTTCCGGCTTGACGCGGTACCGGTCCGCGCCAAGTTCATATTTCGCAAGCTATTTGAACAGTAATACTTCTGATACTAGCGGTATCGGCGGCGGCGGAGGTTATGCAAGGGACGATTTCGATCAGCTGCTAAATGCTCATAATTCTAGCTCCGATGTGCAGCAAGCTTTCGGGAGGTTCATGGCCAGTCTAGATTCGCAAGACATGAATTCGAATAGGCCTGGGAACTCTTCGAGCAATTTGAATGTGAAACAGGAATCCGATGCGTATGAGCAGCCGCCGCCGCAGCAATTGCCGGAGAGTGGTGGCGATTATGGCTCGGTTTCGCAGATGAACTATTCAGGACAAGCTCAACAGAGCCATAATTCAGATGCTACTACTACTACTACTTCGGCCATGGAGGATTCGTTTGGGTTGATGAATTCCGCGAATCCAGATCGTTTTCGCAGCCCGAAAATGAATACTGGCGTTGGTAATTCAAATCTCACCCGTTATAACACTTCTCCTGCGGGGTTCTTTGCTCAATTTGATATTGGAAACGGTATGTCCAGTTCTGCTGATTGTTGTGCATTCATTGCATTGATGACTTTTAAGTTCCCAAATTTTTATGCACTTTTGCTCCTGATAAATATTCCTTGTGTTTATTGGCTGAAATGAAGCAGACTAAAAGGAAATATTCTGTATAAATATAAAAATACATTATAATGATGGATTTGTTGGTACTTTTGCTGGATAACTGGAAAAAGTAGCTGATTTGATTGTTCAGACTTGTAGTTGTTTAGTAAATAGCTGTTAGCTGATTGGGTTAGTGGTTTTGATCAGTTGATAGCATTAGCGGATTGTAGAAAGATTTTTGGTAAATTAGCTGATCATGCAAAATGACTTTTTCAAAAAGTTTATTGAAAAAGTTACTTTGAGCAGTTTTTTGAATTTTAGTATTTTGGAGCAATAAAGTTAATTAATCAAACACTTATATTGAATGTTTAACCGAGTGAAACAGCTAATAGTGGTCAAATAAGCGAAAATTGGCTGATAACTAACTACGTTACCAAACAGGTCAATAAAGTTATGAAATTTTCTCCAATCAAGAACAAGTATAATCATAAAATGAAACCCAAATGCAGATTCTGAATTGGGATTTTTTATTTTCTGTTATTTCATCTTTTATTATGTTGTGTTGCTAAAAATGTTTGAGCAATTCACAGAATATGGTGCAATGAGAGGCATGGGGAGTTATGGAGCTGGTAGTAATGCTAATGCAGAAGCATCGTTTTCTTCTCCAAGCAAGTTTAAGAATCATACAGGTTTCTCATCATCAGGACAGCCCGCTTCCTCTTCAGGCGCAATGGCGTCTATATCTGAAATTGGAGAAGAGGGACTGAAAGAAGAAACCAGTCCAGGGCATGGAGGATTTAGTGAAACTCAGAAAAATGATGAGTTCTCCATGCCATATTGGGAAGATTCAGACATTTTGTCTGATCTTTTCCTAAATGGATCAGAAGAAAAGCCATTTTCAAATCCAAATGTATCAGATATTCAGGTCAGGCTTATTATATCAACCAAACTATCCATGCATATTTTCTCTGTGTCTGATCTTATACAGTTTCTCTGATAGAAGAGCGAAGATCAAACTCGCCCTCCTGGCCTGCTGTCTCATCACTTAAGTTTGCCCAAAATTCCTGCCCAGTTATCTGCCATAATGCAAGATTCAGTGCCCTGTAAGGTCAGAGCAAAGAGGGGTTGTGCAACTCACCCTCGCAGTATCGCTGAGAGGGTAAATATTTCTCAATGCCATAAGTTGAATTGAAAACCATTGTGAACATTATATGATCATAGGACTAGAGAGAAACGATTCCCGGATAACCATTTTGTAAATATAAAGCCTTTGCTAATAGCTATTCTGGTTAAATACAATCTATGATAGGTTAGAAGAACCAAAATAAGTGAGAGGATGAGAAAGCTGCAAGAGCTCGTCCCAAACATGGACAAGGTAAGATTTTGCTTTAGTTGTTACCCCGTAAAGCTACTCGATCGAGCTTACATTCACTGTTCTTTTTTTAACTTTTGATAGCAAACAAACACAGCAGATATGTTGGACTTAGCTGTTGACTACATCAAAGATTTAGAGTCCCAGGTCCAGGTACATCTTAAGCATTTTGAGACACATTATCAACATGCCAAGATGGTTCTAATTTGTAACGATTTTAGATTAACTCTTCCTACAATAATGAAATTTCCAGGTGTTATCGGAAAACCGGGCAAAATGTACATGCTCATCAAGTAAATAGAAAGTCACAGACATAGAGGACCAGGTAGGGCACACATCTGCAAATTAATGGACTGTCAAAAGTATATGAGAATGGGGTAGCATTTTGGTTGGTAAAATGAGCATATAGACTAAGCTGTATATAAAACCATTAATCTGTATTTTTTGGGTTGGTCTCTTTTGTTAGCCATAAAAAGGAATACAAGGAGGAGGAGGAGGGCTTTGATATCCATATCCTCCACCTTACCTTTCTGGAAAAAAATTTCATTTTCAGATGTTTTTGTCATTGAAGTAGAAGATAATGAGTGTTCTGTGCTTGCAAGCTGTCTAATTATGTCTGCATTATATTAATGCTATCACTACTTCAACTTATTTGTGGGGTTGGAAATAGTAGGGTGGCTTAAGAGTCTTTCTTTGATTCAAGAAAGGGCTTCTCTTTCTTAACTTTTGTTTTGGGGTTACCAGAGAAACCCGCAGTCACTATTTGAGGATGTGCACTGGTAAAACTCGCCATGTGACCCGAGCTGACCAGCTCAAACCAAGAAGGGTTGGGATTCAATCTCGTGAGACATTGTAGTTTCAAAGTTTGTATCTTTAGCCATCTTTGTTGGGGTTACAGACTACAAAGAGATAAACCAGCGTAAGTTGCTCTAGTTAACTGGCTCAAATCAAGAAAGTTGGGATTCACACTCGTGATCGTGTGGTTATCTTAAGACATTTTGGCTGGGTTTAACTTTGGTATTTGGTATGAGGGTGGGAACAGCTTACCTCTCATCTCTGCCAAAAGGCTGGAAAGCAATGCACTTAAATTGACTATTGAGAGAGAAATTAATGGAATTTATTGTGGTTGGACCCCCACCCCATCTTTTTTCATGGAAATTAATGTGATAAACTGTCAACATACAACAGTAGGTTGTATTTCTCATGTGTCTTTATCAGTAATTTAAGTTTCTTATTTTTCCCTTTAAATTTTTGAGCTACTTCCTTTGACAATACCCATAATGGTTAGGTTCTTGGGAATAGATTGAGTGTTTCATAATGTTTTGAGGTGGCTAGCCGACGACCACACAGTTTCACTGTTTTTGTACCCTTTTCTCCTTTTGGAATGGTTTTCTAAAATCCATGTTTCTTGGAGAATCGTCCTTGGTCTTGTAATACCATACCATTTCCGCTCAGACAAATGGCCAAATGGGGTGGGGGGGGGGGGGGGGGGGTATTTGGACCCTGATTTGGTTTTATAAATTTGATTAAGATATTAGAAGAGTTTTAAAAAATCGAGTGACTAAGAATTCTAAAAAACTTTTAAAAGTTGGGTCACATTAAAAAAGTTATAAACTAAATTTTTTAATTTTAACATTTTTGTAAACTTTTCTATATCGAATATAAATAGTTAAAATTCATCCTTCAACATTAAGATTTCTAAATTTTATTTCTACCAATTCGTAATGCTTTCTTTCTTGATCTAAACTCTATTTTTTTTTCTCCGAATTTAAACTGTATAAACATTATACTTAAATTCGATAATTTCAGGAAAAATTGGTTTAATTTTCTCTGTGGTTTGATTTTCCTTCCTTTCTCGTGGTAGCTAGGCCTTGTAGCTATTTTTTCTTCATTATCATACATTTCTTCGTGCCTAAACTCTATCAACTTTTTCTCTCCCCTAAATTTTACAAGTTTTTTCTTCCTTTGAAAATTCTACAAATTATTTTTTTTTCTTCATTATTGTTTGTATATTCCCAATAGAGGACACTAATAGGTAAGAGCATATATGAGTATTATGTTTTGAGTATTACCTTTTTTCTTGTAATATTATATCAATTAGTGAAAGTGATATTACATTTAAATTTATAATATACTATTTTTCATCGAGTTAATATTCAATATAGTCATCGACTATAGTGATTTTACTCAATTTAGTCCTAAATGACTTTTTGTACTCAATTTAGTCCCCGATTTTGATAGTTTTACACAATTTAGTCCTTTGTTAAAAATTATGTTAGTTAATTGTTAGAAATAGGATTCTAATGGTAATTTCTCGTCCTTCATCCCATTTGGGATGATTCTTTCTTCTCCCCTTATTAAGATCCACGCAGAAATGCAAATTTTCATACCCAAATCAACATCAACCCTAAATAAATAAATACAGAGTAAATAAATATTTGGGTACGAAGATTTACATTCTTGCATGGATCTTAATAATGGGAAGAATGAACCATCCCAATTGGGATGAAGGATGAGAAATTACCATTAAGACGATATTTTTAACAGTCAACTAACAGAATTTTTAACAAAGGATTAAATTGTGTAAAACCATCAAAGTCGATGACTAAATTGAGCACAAAAAGTCATTTATGACTAAATTGAGTAAAGTCACTATAGTTGAGGACTATATTTGGTATTAACTCATTTTTCTTCACTAATAGTTGAAATTCATTTCTCAAACTTCAAATTTATAAACTTTCTCTATGAACTTTTTTCTCCCAAACTTCTTAACTTTCTCTACGAAGTTTTTCTCCCTAACTTCTAAGTTTTCTCTACCAACCTTTTCTCCATAAATCCATGAACAAATCAAACTTTTCATAAATCATCATAAAATTTTACTATATGTTTCATAATACTTGTATATTTTGATTTTTATTCTTTCTACGGACTTTTTATCCCTAACTTCTAAACTTTTTCTAAGAAACTTTCTCACTAAATACCTAAACAAAGCAAACTTTTTATTTACCACAATAAAATTTTACTCTATGTTTCATAATATTTGTATAAATACTTGTAAATTTGATTTTTATTCTTTTTATGTTTATATTTGTAATAAAAATTTTTCCTTTTGTTAACAGAAGGTTACTGTTCGCAACAACAATTTGGGGAAGAATTTTATGATATATTATAATATTTTTTGTATGAAAATTATAAATAATAAAAATCAAAGTCACTGAAAGTTTGTAAGGATGTATTCAATTTAAAATTTTAATGAATTTTGTAGAAATAAAAAAGTTCATAAAAGTCTACGAATATTTTTTGTATAGACTTTTATAGACTCTTACAAAGTTTACAAATGTTTCGGACGACTCTATGAAAGTTAATAAAATTTTATCAAAATCTATCATTTTAAAATCTTGGGAAAAGGGTCAAATAGGCCCTCAAACTTTAGCTTAAAAGTCAATTACGCCCTCAAACTTTAGCTTAAAAGTCAATTAGGCCCCTAAACTTTTTAAAGGTGCAATTACACCCATCAACAATTTATTTAAGTCCAATGAAGCCCAAAAAAATTAATTTTTGTCGGAAAATTCGCCGGAAGGTGGCCTGAACCCTAATGACCTGTGATAGCAAGTCATTAACTTGTTTTTAGGCTTCATTGCACCTAAATGAATTGTTGATGTGTGTAATTGCACCTTTAAAAAGTTTAGGGGTCTAATTGACTTTTAAACTAAAGTTCGATAGCCTATTTGACCCTTTTACCTAAAATCTTTAAAAATCTATAAAAGTCATGATTGAATATACCCGTTATAATTTAAGTACAAAAGGTTAGTGATCCTGGAAAGGTTAGTGATCCCAAGTCCAGGACGTAAATGAGTCAAGTTATTTGTGAGCTATTCGGGATAGATTTGATGAATGTTTGACTTGGTTTGGTTATTTTTGAGTCAATCAACTACTTCGAGTAACGAATAAAGTTGAATCCGAACTTCTTAATACTTGGTTTGAGCATCTCACGAGGCTAATCGAGCTTTTTTATTTTTATTTTTAAATATTTTATATATAATATAAAAATTTAGCTAATATATTTATATTTATATGTTATATTATAAAATAACATCCAACAAATTATATCGTGCACCAGGGCACACAATGCATTGTGCATCCTGGCCAAAACAATGTCGTTTTGTATCTGTATTTTTTTTTTTTTTTTGAAATTTCGTTCCCCATTTATGCGGTTAACTTCTAAAAAAAAAACTCATGTTTTGAATGTACATAATTGTATAGTAGAATACACATAATCTCTTAACATAATACATATAAACTCTTAACAGAATACACATGAACTCTTAACATAATACACATAAACTCTTAACAGAATGCACATAAACTCTTAACATAATACACATAAACTCTTAAAATAAAAACAACGTCGTTTTGGGTAGATTGTGCACCCTGGTGCACGATTAACGACTCACTATAATCTAAATATAATATTGAGATTTGTTATGATATTTAGCTTTAAAATATTTATTACTATTATAATTTTTTGTGTAAAATAATAAAAAATAAAACTTTTTATTACGAGTTGAGCTCGAATAGGTTGAACTCAAGTGGAGTCAAGCTCAAACTAATAAAATTGAAGTCTGATTGTGTTTGAGTTTCGATTTTTTTTAATTGAGTCGAGTTTTAAGTTTTGACTTTTTTGATTTGGCTCAACTACTCATTTATACCTTGACTTAAAAAGATTTTTGAATAGCTAAGTTGAGTAACGTTGGCCGGAGATTTGCTCAACTAAAGCGTAGGCTTAACTCTTAAGGCAAGTTTTAACTTAGACATGTCTTTTTGAGGCATGCATGTGAAATCTTTGCCCATGTTAGGTCGAACTTCTTACTCAAGGAACCTTGTTTTCTATTCATGAATCATGATAGGCTTCTTATGGGAGACCTGCATGGCACTCATTTAGTAGTTTATTAAGGTGGTTACTATTGTGCATATAATATATAAATATAATTGTACAATTCAATTATCATCTTAACTTTTTAGTTGAGATGAAATACATGTTTCAATTTGGTATCAGAGTCAATCTCATATCAAAGATCACGAGTTTGAATGTTTTGCGTATGATTTTAGTTTATATGAAAAACGTGCTTCAATTATTACCTTACATAAGGAGTCTTGATTTTCTAATTTTCTAACCCTACTAAGGAAATGGTAGGTATACAACATGTTAATTACCTATTTCTAATATAGTTATGACTTATGACATGTTTGGTTCGCGGAATATGCCTAGAATAGAATAACATTCTAAGTAATAGGCATATTCCTTTGTTTGGTAAAAACTTATATTCCCAGGAACATTGTTTCTGTGAATGACCTATTCCAGGAATATTGTTACTGGGAATGACTTATTCCACTTGCAAGGCGAATACAGATTCTGGCCCCCATTGGTATTAGGCTATTCCTGAGTTCTCAGGAATATCCTAAAGTTGTTATTTCCTTACTTTACCCCCAATTCTTCTTGGCCGAACGAAACTGGTGAACTTCGACGAAGATGCAATTAAATTCTCGGAAAGCCCATATGACCTCCGATCGGACAATCGATCATTGGCGAACGACATAGACACATCCCTGACTCCCAATCGTTGAATCGCCGGCTGGATCACCGGCAAAGGGGCGGTAGACGAAGAGCTAGGGTTCCTGCAATTCGTCACAACTGTCGCCCGATTCTAGAGGTGTTGGAGACGGCCGACCCATCTCCATGATCGCCTCAACGAGGCGAAGGAGATGACCGAATCAGATCACCGTGAAAGACAACGCCGGCGGAGGAATATTTTGTCAAAATTGGTGATCGAATGCCCTCCCTTCATCATTCCAAAGTCATCTCCAATGGCCTAGTCATGGTGACCGCTGATTGACAATCTGAGCAGTGGGGGCGTTCGCGACACCTCCCTAACATCAACAAAAGCCTTCGATCGTCCATGCAAAGCTTCAATCGCCAGTAAAACCTCCAAACCTGAAGGCTGGGTCGCAACGCCAAATTGATGTGGCGATCACGATGCTGAGGACGGACAAGACCATCGGAAGGCATTGTTGGCCTGGAGGCGTTTGATCGCCGAGGAAGACGATATCCCTAGACATTGGACATTGAATTGCCGGCCTGGAGGCGTTTGCTACTACACTGTTTATTGGATTGTTAAATGTTGTTTATTTATTTATTTATTATAATAATAATAATAATAATAATAATAATAATAATAATATATTTTGTACAAGGGCATTTATATATATGTCTTTTACCCATATATTCCATTTCTATTCCTTAACCAACCAAACGTTGGAATACAATTCTTAAAGTCTATTCCTTCAACGAACCAAACAACGAAATACAATTCATATTCTATTCCTTACCCATTCCATTACCTATGGAATAACATTCATATTTCCTCCAAATTGATTCCGTGAACCAAACATGGTGTTAGAGAGTTGGATTAATACTTTTCCTAACTGTGCTAAGATTGTCAAGCCCAACCAATTCGACTAGCTTCTAGAGTAGCATTGCTAACTATAAATGAGGCATAAATAAGATGGTGTACTGTGGTTCAAATATAAAAATTAAATGATACATTTTGGCTTTCCACCATATTCAAATAATTTTGTTTCATCTCCAGCATTATAAACAACTTTGTAATTATTCATTTTTAGTGTTGGTGTATTGGTTAGTGGTTGGATCAATACCTTATCGTCAACAAAGTTTCAACACAAAATAATTGTTGTAACCTAGTGCAACTCTCAAGCATTTACTATCTCCCTTCCTTAATTTATATTTAGGATTAAGTGGAGGAGAGAGAAGAATATTTCATTTATGTAAATATGAGTTTTTTTTTTTTTTCATTTACTATCTCCATTCCTTAATTTATATTTAGGCTTAAGTGGAGGAGAGAGAAGAATATTTCACTTATGTAAATATGAGTTTTTTTGTAGGATTCATTGTTGGAAAAATAGCATTAAAATGATATTTTAAGTGGCTATGTTGTGGTACAATTATCAGTGAGATCCACTTCCGAAATGGGTCGGGTCAAAGTAGATTCGGGTTCTTCGTAGTGAGATGAAGAGATTGATATATTGTACGCTCAAAACGGATAATGGGTGAATGAGATATTGATTCTCAAAGTAGACCCATTGAGTTAAAAAAATGAAGGGAAAAAGATGAGGTTTTGTCCAACATTGGTTTGTGAAGTGGATTTGCACCACTATTTATACAAGAGTCTTTTAGAGGCTTATTGAATTATATAGTATAGAGGCTCTCTCTTGCACGTAGGGGTGTGCAAATCAAATCCTGAACCGAGAGCGAAAATGCTTGGCCCTTGGGCCTTGGTAGAGAGGAGCCCGAGTTGAGATAACACTTGTGAAAGAGCAGTAGGTTTCATATTTTTCGTAGATATATATACAACTTTTGGGGTCCGTTTTATATATATATCGAATAGTATTTTATATATTTTCGTGTGTATATATAAATACTATTTTGTGATATTAAATCGACTTTAGTTCATTATTTATCAACATACATTGCCTGCAAAAATATAAAGCTCTGTCCTTGTAGGTGTGCGCTAGGGACACTTACCGTGCCCAGCAGGCGCGTAACAAACATTTATTTGCAATTATATTTTCGGTTCATAAAAGTATGCTATTTAGACTAAATATTTAAATAAAATATTTTACTAAATAATATAAGTTGTTACAGGAATATAGTCTCTCTTTTCTTTTTTCATTTTTCATTTTTTTTGTTGTTGTTGTTGTTGTTGTATTTATTAACTATTTTTAAGTTATCGGATTTCATCACAAATTAATTACATAATCACATCAAATGATAATTTTAAAAATGTTAGTCCAATCAAATGAAGGATTACGTACCACTTTCGGAGATAAACTTTTCATAAAGTTTTTAATTAGTTTCTAGCTAGTTATCACTAATCATGAGTTTATAACTTCCTGTGATGTGATAGCAACTATGCTCATTTGTGGTAGTCATATAATGAGTGACTCTAGAATACGTCACTATTGACGTCATCATCAACTAATAATGCGTAAGCTACCTCAGCAAATACCCCTAAATTAAACTATATCTCCATCCACAGATAATGATATAAGTGCGTCCTCTGACTTGAAATTTGGTTCACATTGAAAGATTCGACGAATAATGTTTATCCGTATTCATATTATTGGTTTTAAATTTTTTATTAAGTATAAATGATTTTTGTTTCAGACATACTAGACCAATTTGTAATAAAATGTATATTCTAATTGAAGAAATATAGGAATGAAGAAGGTTAGACGGTATGAAGCAGAGAGACGGAGACAAGGCTGTAAGCGGCGGAGAGCCAAAGACCGAGTGGACAAGAGCTGGAGACTGAGTGGTTGTCACCTGTCTGTGTGCAATAGCCTTATATATATATATATATATATATATATATATATAGAGAGAGAGAGAGAGAGAGAAAGAGGTTTAGGTGCATTTAAGTGTTTTCCGTGCAGTTGTGCGGTTGATTAATGTGCGTGAGATTTGTATTTAAGGTGCGTGAGTATTGTGCTTAACATGCGTGAGGTTTGTGCTTAATGTGCGTGAGTTTTGTACTTAAGGTGCGTGAGTCTCGTGCTTAAGGTGCGTGAGTTTTGTGTTTAATGTGCGTGAGTGTGTACTTAATGTGAGTTGTTGAAATTTTAAAGTGCATGAGTTTTGTGCTTAACATGCGTGAGTTTTGTGCTTAATGTGAGTAGTTGTTGAAACTTATAAGGTGTGTGTGTTTTGTGATTAACATGCGTGAGTTTTGTACTTAAAGTGCATGTGGCTTGTGCTTAACACGCGGGAGTTTTGTACTTAGCGTGCGTGGGGTTGTGTTCTGAATGTGCATGTTTTGTTTATGTGCTTAATATGCGTGTGTTGTGTACTTAAAGTGCGTCAGTTTAATACTTAATGTGCTTCCAACCGCACAGGAGGCTTCAAATGCATCTGATCTCTCTCTCTCTCTCTCTCTCTCTCTCTCTCTCTCTCTATATATATATATATATATATATATATATATATATATATATATATATTCCGACCACCTTATTAAGTGGTCGAAAAAAAAACAAATTTAAACAATTTTAAATGGCCAACAAAATTTTCCGACATTGGTCGGAAATTCCAACCCTTTTTCGTCCAACCTAACTCCTTGACGGAAAAATGAAAAAAATCACTTTTTTTGATTATTTTTGTTGATAGTCGGAAAATTGAACATTTTCAGCATTGCATCAATCGAATACACCCCTTAAAATTGTTTTAAATATTAAAAAAAAAAATCTTCAAAAGTTGAATTGAATAATTTTTAAAATGAAAATTGAAAAACTACAAAATTTTAAAAATTTCAAACCAGCGATTCCGATTGTTCTAGCAACTAAAACTGAACTTTTTTTTTTTTAACAAGGTTTAAGCTTTGATTTCCTGAAACATAGAATTCAGAATCGATAATTCGAAACCAAAATCAAAACCCCAATTATCCGATCCGTACATTGTTTGAAGCGGGTGTTTGTCTCGGCCCCGCGAGAGGGATTGGGTTGTTAGACACAGTTGGGGTGGCCCCCCATGGAGGTTTGGATGAAGATAGAGAAGAGGATGGCAGTATTTTGTGAGCCACACATTGCAAAATTGTTGCTTTCATACCAATAATACTCCCCTCTCCCCAACCCCAAAACAAATACTTACAAAATCTGCCATCAATTGCACCACCTAAGAAATGACTACTTGGTGCTCGCTAAGGTACATAGTGACTATCCAAAGGGGAGTAAAAGGCTACCTAGTGTTGAGAAGTATTCAAAAAGTGAGCCATTTAGAGTGAGACATTGTGGATGTTAGCTTCTCACGGAGTGGGCAATGATATGACCTCACATCGGCTACACAATATATTGTGAAGTAGTACTTAAGTTGGGATTCAACTTTCACTCTTGAGTTAGCTTTTGTGATCGAGTTATGGTATTATCTTTAGCGTTATATAACTTGGCGTTTTCATTGATAGTCAAACTTAAAACCTCATTCACATCCGATGTGGACATAGGAGAGGGAGCAATCAAGGAAAGGGCTATATGTTGTTTGATAAGGTCTAGAGTGAAGTTAGTTGTTCAAGGTGAAAAAAAGGGGATACATCGAGTTTAGAGTGTGAGCCATCATGGATATTGGCTTCTCAAGAAGTGAGCAATAATACGACCACATATTAATTATGCAAGAGATTGTAGAGTGATATTTAAGTTGGGGTCGAACCTCCAATATTGAACTAGTTTTTGTGGTAGAGTTAAGGTCTTATTTTGAATGTGATATCACATGGTTAGCAAATAACAATGACAATTTTTTTTTAAATAAGAAATAAAAAAGGGGGCACACTAGATTTTTATTTTAAAAAAAAAAATTGAATAAAAAAGTTATGTAAACCTAATCATCATATTTGGATGTCACATAAATTTTAAATATATTTCAAAAATATAAAATAGAACGATTTGATGTCCAAGTCCATGTTAACTTGATTTTTACAGGCAAAGTCAAATAAAAATCACTAGTACAAAATAGAACATAGGAGACTGACATTTAGCTATTGTTGTTAAAAGAACAGTAGTTTATTTTTAATTCAAAAATTTGCGGTGGCAATTTCGTAATAATGCATAAATAATCTGCTACTGTTTTTAGGTATAACGGATGCGGATTTAAAAAATATAAATAATACCGCCACTGTTTCTACACGAAACAGTGGCGGAATGTATTAAAAAAAAAATTAAAAAGAAATCTAAAACAACCCTAGGTCAGATACTCAGATCCGGCCTCCACTCTCACTCTATCTCAGCTCCTCTCTCGCTCTATACCTCCTCTCCTAAGACGACCACACTCTCCCTTCTCCCTCCCCGCCTCCACCGCCACACCCGCCGCTATTGCATCGTCGTTCCTGCCGATCCGGAGATCTGAGATGTAAACAAATCACGGCCGCACTCTCAGATCTAGATTAACCACACCGCGACGATGATCTGCCGACGACGACGCACCACACCGCGATTACCTCGACGCAACCACCGCGTGATTGACCTTATGCAGAAGAGACGACGAAGTGATTCTTGGGGTTTTGGGGGCTTCCAGATGCGCAAAGAGTGATTTTCTTCTTGCAATTCTTATTTAAAATTTATTTCCAAATTTACGTTTTTTTTTTCTGAAGCTATTATTTGTTGTGTATTACTTGATAGGTATTAGGAATAACTGAATAAGGACTTGGAGTGGCTTGAATTGGATTGATATGGCTCAAATTGTGCCATCTTAAATTTTCATTTGAACATGCCATCTAAAAGATTATGTTTACATTCATGAAGCTGTTGCAGAGCTGCTATCCACAACTTTTACATGAACTTTCATGTGGAATATAATTATTGGGGCAAACTTCTATCTTATCTTACTTTTTATGTTTTTAGGGCTTTATTACTTATTCGTGACATGGTATATGTTTGGTAATGATTTTAAATCAGCTTAATGTTAAATATTCAGGCAGTGGCTAGTGAGGGTGGCACTGAAGATGCAAAAAGAAGGGGTGATGTGTTTGCTCGTGCATTTTCAGCACATTTGGCAAGGTAGTATGTTTTAGTAATCCAATTGTTCTTACATTACTCTTATAAAAATCATTTCCCCATAGTATGATGCTTTTTTAAAAATCATTTCCCCATAGTATGATACTTTTTTATACTAAAATTTTAACTGATTGCATCATTTTTCAGTTAAGTTTATGAGTACAATATTTGGATTGTGATATTTTGTATTAAAAGTTTTTGCTACCCTTGATTGTCATACTTTATTTTTCTCTAAGAGATCATATGCTTTGTGATTCAGTGGACAATGTTAATGTTCTCGTCATCTTTGCTTCACTATGAATATGACTTAATTGTTTGAAGAAACCCCTTTCTTATTCAGTTAATGTTTCTTGTTTGGAAATTCTAGTCTCCATTTCTGCATTCTTTATCTCACTAAACGTATGCTTTTGCAATTTTCCTGTTATATGAAATCCTTTTAATTTTCTGTTATATTTGTATTTTGTTAACAGATTGATGGAGGAGCCTGCTGCATATGGTAAGCTAGGACTGGCTAACCTTTTGGAACTACGAGAAGAGTGCTTGAGAGAGTTTCATTTCTTTGATGCCTACAGGACCATTAAACAAAGGTATGGATATAGGAAAGATACATCTTTTGCATATTGTTCACTGAAAATGACCCCTTCCATCTATTATTCTATATTTCTATATATCAGGGAGAACGAAGCATCACTTGTAGTTTTACCTGATCTTCTGATGGAGCTTGACGGCATGAATGAGGTATGATTAACTCTATTTGCAGTTTTCCTGTTTTACTGAGTAGAAGTGCTAGGAACGTGTTCTAAAATGTAACGTTTTACATATTTCATTCAATCCTTTCAACTTATCTCTAGCAATCAAAATACTTCCTCTCCACTTAAACTGCTTTAATTTCTTCTAGGAAATGAGACTACTTACCCTAATTGAAGGAGTACTTGCTGCAAACATCTTTGATTGGGGATCACGGGCCTGTGTTGATCTCTATCACAAAGGAACAATCATCGAGATATATAGGATGAGCCGCAATAAGATGCAAAGACCTTGGCGGGCAAGTGACACAAAAATAATTTTCTAAAATGAAATTTCAAATATGAGTTTTTTTTTTTTTTTTTTATAAAACTCTGAACTGAGACATTATAATTATTAATACTCTTTCTGATGTACTCAAGTGGATGATTTTGATGAATTCAAGGAGAGAATGTTAGGATCTGGAGAGACGAAACCACGACCTCATAAAAGAGCATTGCTAGTAGCAAACTCACTCCCAGCATTAAATGATGTTACTGCTATGGAGTTGCCCGATATTGTTGCTGAAGCTGCTAAGGTATACTAATATAATACTTCATCCTGAATTGATATTTCCCCTCCATAGACTAATGTAAAAGTATGATTTATGTGCCTGATACCTCTCCTTTGACCAAAGCCTTATAAGAAGACATGATAGGTTATGTGCCGAATTGACACATTTCACCTCAACTTAAAGTATTTTTTTGTGGACTGATATTACATTGTTAGATGTCCTCAACTTACCTACCCTGTGTTGAAAGTATCAATGGTTTTACGTTTTATGCACATTTCAAGTGATGTGCCTTTTAATTTTTAAGTGATGTTATTAACTTGTTTTCTGTCTCATTTGTTAGCTAGACTAGTGGTGTGTGAAGAGATTGAGCTTTACTTGAAATGAATTGATAAACCAGCGGTGATAACTCGCCGCTCCTTCTCTGTCTCCCCTAGTTCCCTCAGCCTTTGCCTTCCACCTCCAAGCCCCTCTCCTCTCTCTCTCTCTCTGAGTTACTCAACTCAGCTCAGTTCTCCCTAGGTTAGCTCTCTCTCTCTCTCTCTCTAGATACAGACCACCCTCTTTTCATTTCAAATCTTCTAGATTTGTTTGTGTAGATTTGGGACCCCAGATTTGCTTCTGTTATGTTGAATTAACTGCTATATCTATAATCTATCTACATTGTGTGTGTGTTTGTAATGTAGCTCTGAATTCTGGTTTTCTTGTGCTTGCATCTAAAAGGGTACCTGAATCTGTTATGTTTCTGTTTGTGTCCTTTTCTTGGAACTTACGTCAGAATGCTGAGATCTACAGCTTCGGTGGGCTAAAGATTACAACTTTAAAAAGGAAATACAGTACTAATCTGATATCCCAAATCCCAAATCCCACTTCCCAGCATGTCTGTATGTACTTTCCTTGTTCACGAAAAGTGACAGTCTTCTTGAGATGCTGGGTTTTAGTAATTCTTTAAATATTCTTTCTTACTGAACTGAATCATGAATGCTTATCTGTTAAAGGGTGCCTGATCTTTTTCATTAGTGGCTTATTATTATCCTTCTTTTGGATGGAATTAATGTCCAAATGCTGAGATCTACATATATATGGGGGCTAAAGAATGTGACTTTATCAGTAGTAGAATGATTCTAGATTTCTAGACTTCTAGTTAATGCAACTTTAGCAGAAGTAGAATGATTCTAGTTGAACTGTCTTTGGATCTATGTGTTGCCTATGATGTTTGTGATTTCATTTAATTAGGATCTTGCAAATGCAGGGACTCTATTGAATAATAGGTATACATGGAAAGGGTTTGAAGCAATTCCTAGAGCTTTTGAAGAACTGAAGGTAACAACTAACAAGACATATATTAGCTTAGCTAGCTAGCAGCTTAAACTTAGCAAGAAATTATCAATTCTGTTGTGAATAGAGATCTTTTAGCTCAAGGTTCACAATTTTTACTATGTATTTAAGAGTTCATGTGTTAAACATCTAAGTTTATTATCTAATATAATGATATTGGATTTGGATTAACCTAGGTAATTTTGAATTTTAATAAATTTACTGTTATACTTGCCTAAAAAAAAAAAGAATGAAAGAAAAAAAGAAAAGAATTTATAGTAATAAATCTTTTTTGCTTGCAAAATTGCAACTGGACTTGGAATTAATTTATAGTTTTATACATCCTTGTTTTGCAGTTCAACTTATATAAATCCAATTGAAAGTACCGGTAAGATGGATCTTTGAACATTTCTAAGATGGGCAGCCATTCATCTTGGTTGCTCAACCTTGGCAGAAATTGAATGAGCTCCTCCCACTACTGAATTGGAGCCTATACGATCCAACTATAGCCAGGTCTTAGTTTTGGCACACTAGTTCATTGATTGTTTTTTAGCCATTCATCTAAATTCATTGATTGTTTTTTAGCCAGGTCTTAGCTTTCAATTATTTTTAATTTGGAACTGTAAATTTGTAATTCATTGATTGTTTTTTAGCTTGAAGTATTGTAATTTTATAAAGTTTGTATGAGAATTGCAGTGTGAAAAACAAAGACTGTTTTTGTTTTTGTTTTTTTAATTTTTATTTTAAAAAAAAAAATTAAAATGAATCCGCCACTGTTCTTCAAAGAAGAACAGTGGCGGAAAGTGAATTTTTTTAAAAATATAAAATTAATCCGCTACTGTTCTTCAACAAGAACAGTAGCGAAAAGTGAATAATAAAATAATAATAATAATAATAATCTGCCATCGTTCAAGTGAAGAACAGTAGCAGATGACTCAACTTTTCGCTACTGTTCCACAACAGTGACGAAAAGTCCATGACTTTTAGTGACTATAGTATTCGCTACTGTTGTACAACAGTGGCGAAAAGTCCTTTACACAGTAGCAAATGTGCAGTTTTGTACTAGTGAATGTCTTAATTGCATTAGTTTTTGTGGGTTATTGATGCTTTTTTAAAATTGTTTGATAACTTAATTGTTGTTGATGATTTAGTTTAACTAAAATGTGAATAACTATTTGTTCAAGTTACAAGAAATAAGGAAGAAAATCATACTGAAAATACAATTTTGTTCTTTCTATATTAGTATTATTTAAGTTTTTGTCAAGAAATAGCTAGCACCCATCAGAAGAATGACTAAATAAGCTATCTTAGTGAATAATTTATGGATAATATTACAACTCCGTGTTAATTAGGAATGAAAATTACACTAACACTATAACTCAATGACTAAAAGTGTATTTTTCTCAATATAAAATAGTGCTAATATAAATAAATTGTATAAATTTGTGTACAAGATAGTCTTTGAACTAAGTAAATGCAATTCACTAATCTAAAATTCTACTATATTCAAAATTTTGATTCCAGTCCACCGAGGCAATTACTTGTTTACCAAAATATTAATTTTAACGGTTTGACATAATCAAATAGCTAAAGTCAAATAAATTTATAAAATATAAAATAAAAATTGGCAAATCTGTCATTTATCAACAACCTCTTTATATTTATTGGGTGTGTATAAATTAGTTGACTAATTATAAGTTAATGAATAAATTCTGCATGTTAATTTTTTTGTTTCGAAAGCAATAACCGTACTTAGAGCAACTCCAACGGCTGCAAATTTAAGCGCTATCCCACCATTTTGCCAAATTCTTGTTCTCCAATGTGCAGCACACCATTACGCCATCTCGCCATATTTTTTGGCGATAATGAACAGTGCTACGCCATATATGGCGCGGCACTGTTCATCTGCGCCAAATATAAAAAGGAGGGAAACTTACCATTTTGCCCTTGCTTTTTTTGATAAATCCAAATATATCCTTTAATTGTTTTATATGTAATTTTTTGTTTTGTTAAATACTTGTATTTAAAGTTTGTATTATTAAATATAAATTATATCATTTGAAAGATCTCATTGAGACGATCGAAACAAGACTAATATTGAATATATATTAATTAAAATTTCAAATACATTAAACATAACTAGATTATAATAATAAAAATTAAATTTTATACTATATTATTATTGTGAAATAAATTAAATTTTCAATAAATTAAATTTTTTTAAATAATTAATGTTATAAAAAATTTAATGTTAATAAAAATTATTATTTACATCACAAGTTATATTTTATATTAAACTAATTATGTTCAAACTAAGTTATATTAAACTAATTAAATTCGAAGTAATAATTGAGAAATCAAATTATTTTAGTGTAGAAATTTGGTGTTTTGGTGTTAATGGGTTGGAGATTGAATAAAATTTGATGTGAGAATATTCTTTTTGATGTGACATTTGGAGAAAAAATTTGGTGTTTTGGTGTGAATTGGGTTGGAGATGCCCTTACTGTAATAAAACTGATACAAAAATCAGGGGATAGAGTCTGCATGTTAATTAAATACTAAAAAGTAGCTAATATAAATATTAGGGGTAGGACTATGAGTTACAAGTTTAATTTTCTTTTAAATACTTCTGAATAATGTAATATATGGTAAAAGAATTTTCTTAAAATTTAATTGTTAATTGATTCAGAACTTCTCAGTAAATAAAAATATATACAATGGAAAATTAAAAAAGCCCTTGAGATCGTAAATGACCATCGAAAAACGATTTGCCAACTGCAAATCTAATTGTTATAGCATGACCTAAGATTATGTGTCTGTAATTAATTGAAGACAAATAATTTGTTAATTACATGGACATAATATATATGTACATGCAATTAACATATATATTATGGAGGAGTGATCACATGTGACCATGTTGTTAGGTGTGGTTATATGGTCAATTATAGACCATTAGATTAGATAGATCTAATGAATCATATTAATCAAGATTTTTTCAATATTTTCGCGTACATTCTTCTACCCAGTGAACTGTAAGGGTAAAATTGTCATAAAACACCGGAATAAGGAAAATCACATTGTTGTGTGTTTCATTACACTATTGGTGCATGTTGTCAACACTGTTGGTGTATTCTGGAACTCGACCGCTATAAATGGCCACTGTTATTACCATAACACGGGAGTACACCATTGGTGTGTTTCACTGTGGTGTGTTTTATTACACTATTGGTGTATGTTGTCAACACTGTTGGTGTATTCTGGAACCCGCCCGCTATAAATGGTCACTGTAATTATCATAATACCCCCACTTACTAAAACGCGCGAAAATCCTCAGAATTACCACAGCCTTTAGATTAAACTGATTCAACGACACAGATACGACCACACCTAATGACATGACCACATATGACCGTTTTTCATATATTATGTATTATATATGCACATAATTAACAAATAAT